GCTGCTCTTGTAGAAGATCTGAGTTCAGGCCCCAGCACTCACTACCTCTTGTAGCTCCAGCTCCAGGGACTCTGTCACCCTCTTCTGATGCCCACAGGCACCCACACTCATGGGTTCACACACACACACACACACACACACACACACACACACAAAAGATAAATGTGTTTAACATTCAAGTATTTTAAGGCTACCATAGAATAATTATAAATTTAAGTATGTCAACAGTAGATTTCACTTAGTTACCTGCTAACATTTTTTTCCTCACTCTCAGGCATACACTGTATTATTCAGGGGCTGGAGAGATATTTCTCTCAGTAGGTAATAGCATTTGCTGGCCAGGCATATGGCATACACCTTCAATCCCAGCAATTGAAAGGTGGAGAGGCAGAGGCAGGAGAATCTCTATGAGACCAACCTGGTCTACATATTGAACTCTAGGACAAACTACATATAGAGACCCTGTCTCAAAAAAAAATGCACTGGCTTTTCTTCCAAGTCTTCTAGAAGACCTGTGTTCAGTTCCCAGTACCTAACACCCACAGCTCACAACCATATCCAGGAGGATCTGATGTCCTCTCTTGGTTTCTGCAGGCACCATTCATGGACATGCATGCAGACTGTTCTATAGACATAAAACATCATTTTATAAAAATAACTGTTACTTGGTGTCCATTTTCCTATCCACTTTAGCTCTAGTAAAAGTGTGTATTTCTATATTAGTTCGCTGCGATGATTCTCCATTTCACTCTGCCTGTTCTGTAGGCCACAATGATACACAAGGACTAAAGGAAACTTACAGTTTCCCCCAAAATTGTTTAGAATTCCAGCCAGAGGAAGCTGGTTGCGTAAAAACTTGTGAGAATATTGTATGTGCCGTTGACCAAATGCCTTGAGATCTGCTCTGGCGTGTCCAATGAAATCACATAAGTCCACAGGGAGTGGAGTGAGAGAGATGCCTCTTTTACACACCCACACAGAGCAATGAATACCAGCTGGTCTCAAGAAACATCACTACTCCTCTTAAAAAGCAATACAACTCAAAAGTAATTCTGGAGTGGCAATACAGTAGCAAGGGTTACATCAAATCTGGGGCTGAATCGGCAGTTAAGAGCACTTGTGTTCTTGTCGAGGATCTGGATTCAGTTCCCGGCACCGGCATGATGCCTCACAACCATCTACAACTCCTTTTTCCAGATTCCGTGCCTTCTTCCAACTTACACAGGCACCAGGCATGTACGTGTTACACATACATGCATGTAAGCAGAACACTCGTACACATAAAATAAACCTAAAAGTATATATACAAACTAGAGAAAAGCACCATTCAAGTGGGGGAGGGGTGTTCACCATTTGAACCCAGGCTTAAAACCCTTTGCATGTATGCTTCGTCAAGTGTGCATTCCACAACGAAAGGATTAATATTCCGAGTAGCCCTGAAGACAGCCACGCTTCCTTTCCATTTCCTCTATAAAGACGTTCATCAGACACGTGAAAGATCGTGGGATTCCTTCCATAAGACAGACCTAAATGTTTTTACTCACAGCCATTTTTATTAGAATGAGAAACCTCAAAGATTTCTATGTTATACGATTGTGACGAGATAAACTACTCCAGACAACTTCGGGAATGCTGCGTGGCCCATGAGTGGGAAGCAGCTAGCGTTGCTGCTGATTCAGGAGATGCCGGAGTGGGAGGGTTTACCCAAGATCAACCCGGAAATCCACTGAGTTCTTGGGAGGTGGTGGTTGGTTAGGCACAGGCAGGCTCACAACAAAGAGTGACTAACACACATAAAAAGCATCATCAGCCTTCATTTGGAAGGTGGTAAGCAAAATTTCCATCCGTGTGCTCGAGCCTCCAGCCCCTCACTCCAGCCCCTCCCTCCAGTCCTGCTCCTTCCTGCTCATGGGTCTGGTCCTGCCGGCCCCCAGCTGAAGGCGGTATCAACTGCTTTCCCCACCAATCAGGCAGCTTTTGCTCAGGGCCTCTTCCAAAGAGTAGATCTGAGACCTGGATAGGATCCTTGGCTTCGGTTACAAACTTTACACACAGCCTCTCATTCAGCAAAACATGCCACCTCCCCTTTCAAACGTCACCCAGACTCTACCCTTTCTTATCAGCGGCTCACCCGCCACCGGCATCGGTGACCATCCTCTCTCACCTGGACTCTAAATTCAGTCCATTTCCATGCCAGCTCTGGGCAGATCATTTTCCTTCAAACATGAAACCTATCCCTCTCTGCTTTAAATCAACTGAATAGAATAAATAACTACTCATTTTTCATGGCCGAGGAGGATAATGGTCCTTGCCAATTAACTGAATATGTCAAAATGGCTCTCAGAGGTGAGTCTGGATGTTTCAAACACAAACAAATGTCGTGTCTGAGATAATAAATATGTCAGTTACCCTGATCGGGCTATTACACATTGAATGCATGTATTGAAATGACACACTGGAACCCCTAAATATGTACAATTACAAGTCAATTTAAAATAAGTTTGAAATATGTAAACCATCCAGTGAATTTTTCAGTGCCCTTAGAATAAAAATCTAAACGCTGTCGAATATCCTAGAAAACCCTACCTCACCAGGAGCCGACTGACTTCTTTAACATTGTCTCCTATGATAATTCTTCACTGTTTCCCAGGCAACCTGGATAGAACAATCTGACTGCCCAAATCATAGTAGTCACACTCCGCTGCCATCTCCCTGTCGCTCCACATGTTAACGTGTTTTCTTTCCTCTGGCAACTGGCACTGTCTGAAGTTACTATGTGTTTACCGGTTTATTTTGTGACTTCCAGTTTCCCCGACTGTGATGGACATTGGAACAGGGACCCTATCTGAATGCTTATTGATGCATACTTACAACCAGACATAACATAAGCCATTTTAATACATTAATAAATGAAATATATATATATAATCTACAATGATATGAAGTTTAGGGTTGAAGATAGAGCTCAAGGGGAGAGCCCTTGTAAGTCTTTCTGTTCAATTCTTCAGTATGGTCATAGTATATGTATACACACACACACACACATATATATATATATGCATAATATATTATCTATATCTCAATGCATAAGCTATTGGTGTTAGATAAGCCACTTTTCATTAGCTATACAACTTTGCACCCAATAATATATCCTTTCTCTTTTTATAACCTGGAAAATGGGCATAGTGATAATCCTGATCTTACAGAATATAGAAAGAAAATGCATATTAAACACTTAGTACTATGCCTGAAGCACTACATACATTAATAAGGGCTATGTTTTAGTGGAGGATTAGTGTTGCAGTTATCTTAAAAATATTAATATAAACTATAAAAACTGAGTCACCTAGAAAATGGTTCCCCAAGACTGAACAGTGTGGTGTGAATTCCCAGGTTAAGACTTTCTAACCATCCCCATGGCTCCTTTGAGATGCTTTTGAACAGCTTGGCACAAGCTGGGCTCACCTGGGAATGGAGAACTTTAACCTAGAAGACGTCTCCCATCAGGTTGTCTCATAGGCAAGTCTGTGGGGCATTTTCTTGATTGATGACTAATGTGGGAGGGCCCAGCCCACTCTGAGCAGTGCCACTCCTGAACAGGGGGTCCTCAGTTTTACAAGAGAACAACATGAACACGCTATGGGGAGCAACCCAGTAAGCAACACTCCTCCGAGGTCTCTGCTTCATCCCCTATCTCCAGGACCCTACCTTAAGGTCCTGCCTTGACTTTCCCCCAATGGACTGTGACATGGGCTACGTAAACCCAATAAACTCTTGTCTTCCCAAGTTGTTCTTGGTCACGATGCTTACCATAGCAATAGAAAGCTCACTAGGAAACCCATCCAACTATGCCATCCTTTGTGACAGGAGCCGGACTTCACTCCTCACTCCCATACATCATAAAAATATGTCCCCAATCACTTCCCCTACCTTCAAATCAGCAGGAGGGTTTGTAAAGTAAGAAGAGAACGTGAAGTTGGAGACACACGGTTGACTTCACGTGCCAAAATGCTCCAGAGAATACTGACTTATCAGTTATGAAAATAAACAGAAAGGAGTATGTGGTCAAGAAGGGTGGCAGGAAGTTTATGCTCTAACACCTTACTGAGAACTTCCAGAGCCTTTGGGAGTATTGAAATCTCTGAGAAATCCCCAAGGGGGGATGTCAGTACGCACCACATTTGACTAAGGGTCTTGTTTTTGGGTCCCCTGGAGCATCTGTTTCTGGGACTCACTCTAAGAACGCTGTATCCTTTCATCCTTAAGTCCCAACACAACCCATCTTTACGTGATAAAAACTCTAAGCACATAGCACAGTCAGAAGAGGTTATGAGGGCCCTGGTCCTTGTCACCCTTACGGTCCTTCGTGGCCACCCACATACCCCTCCCAAGTCTTCGATCAACGCATGTACAAGGGGATAGAAAACTAATGATTTTCTAGAATTCTGTAGAAAATTACTTCTTTGCACATTCCCCAACCTACTTCCCATAGACTCCATCCAGTCCTTTTGGACTCAACTTCTTGGAGCCACAAGACATAACTTTTTTTTCTCTTACTTTTTCAGTCAGAGAGCCGAAACTGTCTCATGGAAACTCATGGTGGCTGGAAGAAGAGAAACCCAAAAGCCAGTGAAGTGTTCATCTGTAAAAGAGACACGGAGCACAGGGAAGTGCTGCAGATACCTGCCATTCCACGCCACTATTAGTGGTGCGTAATGATTGGAAGATAATGGCTCTGCGCCTTTGAAGACTAAAATGATGAAGCTGTCTGCGCAATGACAACTGGCCAGTGTGAGGAGTCCTCATTTGACAGCCAAACAACCTGAATCCCTTTTATGAGGTATGGAATGTGTCTTAGGTAATAAACACTTAAGTAATTAGATGGATTTTATGGAAGCAGCCGTAAACTGAAACATGGGGGAAATGCCTTGGCAATGGGGTTGACGCCCAGGGAGGCGGGTATATAAGAGCCAGGGCACAAGTCGGGAGCATCCACACATCAACTGACTTCTCCTCTCAACCCAACCACAACCCAACTCCCAAAGCCATGGCTTGCTGTGTTGCCCGCTGCTGCAGCGTCCCCACCGGCCCTGCCACCACCATCTGCTCCTCTGACAAGTCCTGCCGCTGTGGAGTCTGCCTGCCCAGCACCTGCCCACATGAGATCAGCCTCCTGCAGCCCACCTGCTGTGACCCCTGCCCCCCACCCTGCTGCCAACCTGAAGTGTACGCGCCAACCTGCTGGCTGCTCAACTCTTGTCACCCAACTCCTGGCCTGAGCGGCATCAACCTGACCACCTTCGTCCAGCCTGGCTGTGAGAATCCCTGTGAGCCCTGTTGTTAAGCCCTGCTCCCAGGTTCAGGGGCCTGGCTTCTCAGCATCCTCCCCCATCACCTGCTCTTCTGCCACTACTTCTGCCTGCATCCCGGCTTAATCAACCCCAGGGCCCAGGAGCAGAAGCCCATGGACCATGCTTAGGCTCCCCAGACTTTGTCCCTTTGGGCACAGATGGTCGCCTTCTCTCTTTTAGGCTCTGTCCCTCCTTTTTGAGAGCTACCATTTGGACTATTCATTAATAAAGTTCATTCTGGCTTAGCATTCGTGGCCTCGTAGCTGTTTATTTCTGTGTTTCCTCTTAGGGAAAGTAGAATGCCAAGTTCTACCTGAAAGCAGTTTGTTATGCAGCCCAAGGGCCATCCAAACACAGTGAGAAATCTTCTTTGTATATATTTATTATTTTTATTCATTTGAATAACAACCACAGTTTTCCCTCCTCTCCTATCACTGTCCTCCCCAAACCACCCCCATCCCCTCCTTAGGAAGGGTAAGGCCTCCCTTGGGAAGTCAAACAAAGCCTGCTACATTTAGCTGAGACAGTACAAGCCCCTCCCAACTGCATCAAGGTTGAGCAAGGCATCCCACCATATGGAATGGGCTTCAGAAAGCCAGCTCATGCACTAGGGATAGATCCTGGTCCCACTGCTAGGGGGCCCTGAGAACTTCAGCAGGTTCTTTTCTAGGATCTTTCCACTTAATGAATATTTCTGGAGCTATCCACTGTGCCACGGAGAATCTAGACATAAATATAATGTTCTATTTTTTTATTCAACCCTCGTTTCTTCCTTGTGCTGGCATGTGAAAATAATTTCTACCCCCTTACTCATAGGCAACAAAAGTTTTAGGCTCACAAGGGAGGTTACTTTGAAATTCCAAACTCTTATAAACAAGTCAATGCACCCACGGATGAGTCTATGGAGCGCTGCACTCCTCACAGGAGGGCTTCTAGGAGACTTCATTATGCTAGAATGTGCCATGACTTTGTAATAAAACAGTAGAGTGTGGACTTCTCCCTAATGAACTTGACCATGCCTTCCTGTTTCTATTTTGTTTTCATAAATTAGCCTCATAGACAGGCATTTTCTGGAGAACAACTGGGGAGAGTTAGCCATCCTTCCAGGCTCTGATGTCCGGAGGGGAAAGACATCATGAAATTAGATCTAAGCTACTAAATCTAAGTAAATAGGAGCTTAAAATTTTGTATTGTGTTTCATTTTTTCCCCTTTGGAGTAGGAAAATAGTAAATGTGAAAAAGCTTTAGCATTTAGAGCTGGTTTGCTTGGAAAAGGTTAAAAATGTGTAAGTGTGTGCCTGTGAGCAAACATTTGTGTGCATATGGCCTATCTTGGATAAAATACTTCTAACTGTATCAATAAGTAGAAATTACTTAGCATCAAACATAGGGTAATCAAAGGCCCATGACATATAAATCAACAACACCATGGTAAAGACACTGGACATGAAGCTGCTGTCATGGTCAGACATCATTTTTATCAGAATTCTTATGGTTTGAGCTCCCTGGGCCGTAATTTACACATTTACATCAGCTAAGCACTCATTGTTCAGATATTAGTTGCAAAAGGGAATAAGCAAAAGTTTCTGCCCTTGAAAAGTTGTAGGGAAGAGGTATGGATAGTTGATATCTTCCAGAATAATCATTTTTATGTGGATATCAGCATTTACTGTTTCTTGCCCCCTTAAGTGAGGTTCCGCTGAGTTCACAGCAGCCTCAACTGTGCTTAGAAGTTGACTGGCTCAGGTGACTTATACTATCACATGACTGAAATATCCATAATGCATTAGGCCAAAGTGAAATATTCTTTATACTACAGAATTGGCAACAAAGTTCTGACAGCACAAAATATACGTTCCTCTTGGGAAAAAAAATTTCTGTGTTGACCACTATGCCATTTCCTTAGTTTTGATGAGCAATCTAAATACAGTAAGAGCTCTCCACAAAGCACCCAGATTGCTGAAATCTAATTGTAGAGTTGAATGTTTTCTTACCTTGGGGACTTTGTGGCCTCTCTCTCCCTACCTCCCTCATTCCCTCCCTCCCTCTCTTCCTTTTTCCCTGCCTCCCTCCCTTTTTTCTTCCCTCCCTCCCTCCTTCCCTTACTCCCTGCTATATGTAGCCTGGTATTCTACAATCTAGTTTTCCTTGTTATTTTTCCATCTTCTGCTTATGTCTCAGCACTGTAATAAGGTCTGGATAACCCGAAGAATAAAGGCCTCCTCATCCACAGTAACCAGTTGTCCCAGGAGAGCCTCTCACTGTGACTTCCACCAGCTGGTCCCAGTTTTCCCTCCAAAAAGACATTCATTCATTTTGAGAAACACGCATGTTCTCCCAAATGGCTTTCCTAAGTATTTTTAATTACTTCATTTCTTTGCTCATCAATTTATAAGTATTGGTATATTGTGACATCAACACACACACACTTTTCCAGTGAATGAATTGACTCACCTTTACTGTGGTCACGCACTAACCTAAACCATGAAGTGTTAGTATTCCAACAATTACACCGGATGGAAGGAACTTGGAAATGGTGTCTGTCTGTCTGACTGATCATTGTCAGCACTGAATGTAGCTTTGAACAACAGAAGTGACCGGTCAGCAGTTTGGTTTTCATAAAAAGCAAAAACTTTTCAAATTGCTTTGCAAAAAAAAAAAAAAAATGCATACTCATATTTCTCAGACCAACTATCGTCCCAAGGGCCTAGATTTTAATCTTTTTCAATCTGTAATTAAAGTAACCAATTCCTTGTAAAACTAAAGGCTTGTTCATATTCATATTTACTTGCATGTCTAGATGATGTAGTGCTAATATATAGAAAATCATCTAGTAAGTTCTGTCATCGCCAAGCACAATCATGTTGTGTGTTTTCAATATTTATTAATTCGCTCAGATTCATGCACAAATGCCACTGTGCATCTGATAGAAAAAGAAGAGCCCTACAGGTTCCTAAATGCATCAGGGGTGCATAGTTTGAGAAGGATGCTTTCTTAGTTCTTGAGAACATCACTCTTGACACTTTACACTTAGTGTAGATGACTTAGAGGAAGAAATTCTAGGGGATGAACAAGAAGAAAGTAAGGATAAACCCAAGCAGGCTAATATATTGAACAAAAGGAGAACGACACTCACACCATTTTGAAACTGTAGCAGGAAGCAAGTTTGAATGAAGCAACACAACCAAATAAAACTTCAGGAGTGTGTGTCCCGTGGCTGATACAAGAAGATACTGCGTTATTTGTGTGGGGTTGTGCAAACATCAACAAGGAAGCAGCTGAAGGCAGAGGCCACGTTCCCCGAAATAGGTAGGTATAAAAGTCCCTCCCAAGCCGACTTTGTGGAAGAACGCCTTCCTCAGCAAGAAAACCTGATCCACCGTCACCATGACTGGCTGCAATTCCTATCTCCAAGGATGCCACAGCGTACCCCTGGGCCCGGCCACCACCCTCTGTTCCTCAGACATATATGGTCCGTGTGGAGTCTGCCTGCCCAGCACCTGCCCACACAGGATCAGTCTCCTTCAGCCCGCCTGCTGTGTCGCTTGCCCCCCACCCTGCTGTGTGCCTGATTCCTATGTGTCCTCATGTTGGCTGCTCGACAAGGGCTACCCTGCCCCAGACCTGAAAGGTATCTCTGTTTCCACCTGTGTCCAACCTTGTGCTTGTAAACTCTCCTGCTGCTAAATGAAGGCATTTAAAGAGCTTACCCACCTTGCCCTAAGGATCTGCAATGGCGGACACTAAGAGCTCTTTAGCAAAGGGTTTAGTTAGGCACTCTAGAAGATGCTTTGACTCTGGGACTTCATTTTTGCAGACAGATTCTTTCCGTGTTTTGAACAATGATTTCAGAGAAATGGAAAAAATTCACAATCATGGATCTACTTATTTTAAAAGTAAATAAATGCCACTACCCCCCAAGTCCTGTGCTGTCTCCGTGTTTAATGCTATAATTACCAAGGGACTCTTGACACATGCATCATGAAGCTGCAAGGTAGGTGTACAGCAGAATGATGCTTTCCAATGGCATCAACATAAATCTCATAGCTGCAAGGAAACCACACAGGGATATACAGATCCTGAAGAACATTGCCTGAGCGGTAAAACACATTCACACCAAGCGTAGAATTGGTTTAGATTTCAAGATCAACATCAACCTTTATGTTTTGTTTTCCCTGACTATTTAAACAACTCAACTGTGTCCTTAAAGACACAGACAGGCTGTCATTAGACATCAACACACTCACATTCCAAGCATTTCTCAGATGCCTCTGATGTCCCAGGCATCTTCTCCAGAGCCTGCAGGAGATACACAAGGCTAAGGATACAGTTCCCATGCAAGGGCCTCTCACTGGCATGAGAAAGAGAAAAGGAAGGGAAACTGTAAGGCGGGGCAGAAGGAAGCAAGGTCAACTTGATCGCATAGAAAACTGTGAAAACATCTGGAAGGGTTCATTTATAAAGGAGGCTCGGTGGGCCAAAGCCCCGAGAACGAGAACGGGTTGAGACGCAGAGAGCTAGGGCGGGATACTTTAAGCTAAAGCAGCACGCTGAGTGCAATGACAGAGAGAACATTTTTATTTACGAAAAACACAGTATTCAAACCAAAACCAAACCACCTGCTCTTTGTACACGGAATGCGTGACACTTCACAGTGGCAGCGTCTAATGCTTTTCCAGTCCTTCCTCTTCTTTCAGACATGCTGTGTTGATTGAAAACACTCACCGAGGAATCAGTACTTTGTGCTTAACCAAAAATCATTTTCCATCCAATAAGTTGTGCATTCAGATCCCACCGGCTGAATGCTTTGTACTAAAGAAACATGTGGCAACCGCAGAACAGTCAACTATTGCACATTAGACATTGTTGGGCCTCATCTTCAGATATAGGAAGACAAAGCAAGGACAGCTGAGATGAAGAAGGTTGTGGAAGGCATCTCAGAGGAATTTACTATCCAGCTGAAGATCCGAGAGGGGGAAACAAACAAACATGCAGGTGGAAAACCATAACAAACACTTTTTAATGACGTCCTTCATTCTACATTGCTTTCCCAGTCGCCATCTTAAGCCTGCTGTTAACTGTGAATCACGTGATTTCTCCTTCTGAATCTCATTTTGTCTTACTTAAAAGTGTGCATGTCATTCATGTGAGAATGAATTAGCTTAGCTTTCTTTTCATGAAACATCTGATCAAGGACAGCAAGTGAGCTTTTGTTTGTTTGTTTTTTGTTTTCTGTTTTTGGTTTTGTTTTTAATTTTTCCAGTGGTTTTTATACTTTGGCTCACCTTTAAGAAAAGAGACATTGTGGAAAAAATAAGATGTAACACTTCCTTTGAAATATCACTAGACAAAAAAAAAGAAAGAAGAAAGAAAGAAAGGAAGGAAGGAAGATAGAGAATCACTTATTTCAAACAATGAAAAAACATCTAGCCCATACCATCCTGTCTGTCCCATTGCTTGATTAGGAGGGCCTGAATTTTATTATCAATAAATAAAAAAGTTTGAAGATTATATTTTCAGATGAAATATTTATATTTGTAAATAAGTAGATAGTTTAAAATTAAGAAGAGGGAAGGGAATTTTAAACCCTAAAAATGTGCATGAATCGTCACTTGGTCAAATTACTTGTAACTCATACCAGATTGGGTATGTCAGATGCTGTAAGGATCAAATGTGACAATCTTATGACAAAAATTATGGCTCCATGACTCAAAACTGCAATTGAATTAACAAGGGCAGGACTCTTAATAGAAACGAAAATGCCAAACTGATTAGATAACCTTTGTGGAAAAGGGTGTCATAAACAAAACCAGGGTAAGAAGGAAGCTTTCTGATTGGACTCTTGCTCCCTGGGGAGGGTATAAAAGAGTCCAGACTGAGAGGAAGCATTTGAACCTCATCTTTGCACTGAACCAAAGCCAACCAGACACCATCACCATGGCTTGCTGTGTTGCCCGCTGCTGCAGCGTCCCCACCGGCCCTGCCACCACCATCTGCTCCTCAGACAAGTCCTGCCGCTGTGGAGTCTGCCTGCCCAGCACCTGCCCACACACCATCTGGCAACTGGAGCCCACCTGCTGTGACAACTGTCCCCCACCCTGCCACATCCCTCAGCCCTGTGTGCCCACCTGCTTCCTGCTCAACTCCTGCCACCCAACCCCAGACCTGCTGACCGTCAACCTCACCACCTATGTGCAGCCTGGCTGTGAGGATCCCTGCACCCCAAGTTGCTGCTGACCTGTGGCTCCCTTGCTCAGAGACTGATACTGAAGACCCCAGGAGCTGCCTAACCACTGTCACATTCGTGGGCAGATGGTCTAGGCTATGAAAACCCGACCTTTGATTTTAATGGCCAGAAAGCTAAGAAATTTGCTTAGGCAAACTGGATCAATAGTCATTTGATTCATTTGAACAGGTGAATTCTTCCCTTATGAAAATGTTATTGAAATCCTTAAGATTTCAAATTATGGCATGTTGGGTCATGTTGTTTCTAGGATCTTATTTCTTGCACTATGTATTTTCAGAGGCAAAATAATCTCCAGATGGGTTTCTAATAAACTGTATTTCCCTGGCCTTATGTGTTCTTTATTGATGCTAGTGTTTGACATTCATTCCTTGTATTTTGAAATAGAGGAATTTTTTTATTGTTGAAGTACCAGATGAAGGCAGCATTGGAGCAAGCATCCTAAGTGCTTGTCTGCCTTTAACATCCATCTTCTCTCCTATCCCTCAAAACTCATAGAATTCTCAAAAAGATACCACATAACTACATGAGCCAAGTTGCTTAAGCTATGAAGTGTTCTCAAAATTATGAACTTAATTACTAAAGCAACTGGAATTTAACGCCTGATATGTCTGACTCTAAAGCCCAATTATTCCCCACATCATAAAGCCTCCAGTACAAACAGATGAACAAATTCGATCAGCATCTCTGACACAGATTCAAAACATGAGAAATGCCGAAAATGTACAAGTCCTCAACAAAATATATCACATCCAGTTTTGACAGAAAGGGGGAAAGTTGACTCTAATCAAAATGGGTAGGCATTCAGCTGTGAGATCTGGGTCACTTCTACCTCATTTCACTACAGAGCTCCCGGTAGGCAACCCTAGAAACCAGAACACTAACGCAGGCCTCATTTGCCGCCCGTTGTCACGGAAGTTCTAGTCCAGCAGTCAATAGAATGGCAGCTGTTCTCCGGTGACAGATTAAGAACTCGAGCTGAAATGCCCATCAAAGCTAGATACAGCTGTGCTTGCAACTCCAATGACCAGGAGGCCGAGACGTGAAGACAGAGCAGTCAAGGCCAGGTTTGAGCAACACAGAAAGATTCTGTCTAAAAAAGAAAAGAAAGAAAGAAATTGGCAAATTGAGTCCATGAGCTAATTTTATAACCATACATAAATTTACATCACAGAGACGACCCTTTTCTGAGCCTACGAAGAATGTCTATATGTGTATGATGCATGCATTACATATATAATCTTACGCTATATAATACATATGCACATAAAAGCAAACACCCACATGTAGAAATACACAAGTCAAAATCTGGAAAAGTCCTGAGATAAAGACAACACAGTGTCTATGTGTTCAAAAAATAGGTAGGATAAGAAAGTAGAGAAGTAAATACCTAAATAAATCTGTTTTAAAATACCTTCCGAGGTCCATTAGTGTCATTAGAGAGGGATATCCCAGAGCATGCCCACAGGCTTCTTGATGCTTCTGCTTGGAATAAACAAATTCCCGGAGCTTTGAAAGCCTGCCATTTAATCAAGAATCACATGCACAGGGCTTCCATTTTCCAGAAACGGTAGTTCACCCCCATCGGATCCTATATTTACCTAGTATTTAGCAAGTGAGTCACCAGATCATCTAAGGACGATTATCTCACCTTCCCAGCTCTCCCTATCTTCACTTGTAAGCAAAGCAGAGTAATTTCCAGGTCTCTTAGGCCACTGAAGAGAAAATACATTCATAAAGTACTGCAATATCTTGTCAATAAAAAGATTACTATCATATATTTGTTATTTAATAACAGTTTGAGTCTACCAATATAATCCTAAATCTCATTTATGACTAGGAAGCATGATATTCCACATAAACAATAATAAGCTTTTTTATACAGAGCAATAGTGCACACTGAGTAGGTTGACATCTTTTGGCCATGAAAATCTGATGATCTGCATGCCATTTTTTCTTTATAATGTCTCCAGAAAATGTCAAAGTCATATGCTTAGCTCTTAGAACCTAATCTTTCCTTCCCTAATATAATTTCTAATATCAGCAGTTTATAATATATACGTGAGAAACCTGTCCAACCGACTATAAATTCCACGAGGACAGAGATTAAGTTTATTTTGCTCACTGCCAACATTTATAGCAACGCCTGTCATTACTCCTCAATAAATGACTAACGATGTCATTAATCATTTTAATGAATGAGACAGGGCTAAGGAGATAGCTTAGTTGGTAAAGTGCTTGCCTTGAAAATGCAAGGACTCGAGTATGATTGTCAGAATCCACATTAAAAAAGCAGAAATAAAGTCAGGCAAGGTGGCTCACGCCTTTAATCCCAGCACTTGGGAGGAAGAGGCAGGCAGATCTCTGTGAGTTTGAGGCCAGTCTGGTCTACAGAGAGAGTTTCAGGACAACCATGACTACACAGAGTCTCAAAAAAACAAAAACAATTAGAAGTTAAAGATAAAAATAATATGTTTTTAAAAAAAAATGGGCATTGTGGCATATGTTTGTAACCCTAATGCTGAAGAAGTGGAGATGGGAGTAGTGTGGGAGAATTGTCTGTATTCTGTCAGTCATATTTTAATAAAACACTGATTGGCCAGGCAGGCAGTATAGGCGGGAAAACCAGACAGGAAGTAGGGGTGGAGCAAAGAGACTGGGAGTATTCTGGGAAGCAGGAAGCTCCCTCACCACTCCTGTGCAGACCACTGAAGCAGCAACATGTAAGCTGACAACTGAAAAAGGTACCAAGCCATGTGGCTAACATAGATAAGGATAATGGGGTAACATAAGTTATAAGAGCTAATAAGTAGCCTGACCTAATGGGCCAATCAGTTTATAACCTAATGTAGACTCTGTGACTTCTTTGGGACTTGCCGGCTGTGGTGTACCGGGTGGGACAGAAACCCCAAGAAGCTGGCCCGTCATGTTACATGGGAGGATCCCTGGAGTTCACTAACCAGTCAAATCTTCTACTTGAGCAGCTCCAAGCCAGTGAGAGGCCCTGTCTCATAAAGAAAAGGTGCAGGCTTGGAGGGATGGTGCAGAAGTTAAGAGCACTTGCTAGTCTTGCCGAGGACCTGGGTTCAGTTCCCAGCACCCACATGGCAGCTCACCCACATGACCAGGTGTGCTTCCAGTTCCAGAGGGTCTGATGCCCTCTTCTAGACTCTGTGAGCACCAAGCATGCATGAGGTGCACATGCATACATACAGCAAAACACTCACACACATAAACAACAAAAATAACAAGTCTTTTTTTAAAGGGACAAACAGGTAAATGGTGTCTAAGGAACAACATGTGCACACATAAAACCAAATACAAGCAAACATACATGTGCATGAATACACGCACACACACACACACGAGATATTTGTTTTTCCATAAGCAATGTGGCATGCAATTTGGCAGCTATTCATTGAGTGAGAAATCTCGGGGTGGGGGGGTTCTAGAGCACTGAAGACTGTCAAATCCTCTCTTTCAAAGAAAACCACAGGGAACAATTTTTAAGTTTTTTTATTTTATTTATACACCAACTATATTCTTTACCAGATGTTAATGCTTATTTTTATTTATTTGTTTACTTACTTATTTTATTGGCATGAACTTTTGAGATAGGTGTATTCCATCTCACCTAAGGTTTCTCTTTTTAGCCTCCCCCTCCTCCCTCCTCTTTCTTATGACTATGTTTCTTCTCTCTTTACTTTGCCTTAAGTCTGATCTGCAACTTACTTCACATGTCACAATGCTCATCTGTGCACACTATGGGTTTTAAACTCTTTTCACCTCATGAGACTCACAGTGGTCTTTTAAGTGAGAGGGTGTGTGTACTCCTGCTCTTCATTTGCAGAGAAGAATTGCAAGACTCAATAAAAGTGGACTAACTATAGGATCCATGGAAGTAGCCTGCACTCCTAGGACCAACAAAGGGCTCTGTAGCTCTGAGGGTGGTCCTCTTGGTTCTATACACCTGGTCCCCAAGCATACACACACACCCGCCATCATCAAACATCATACACTGATGGACAGGCAGCCTTAGAGTAGGAGCTGAGAAGGGTGTGAAGACCATGGCTTCCAGGATGCATGAGTCCAATCTCAGCAGAAATGTTCTCAGCTGCAGGGATAATGTCGTCCAGGGACACACCCAGCACTTGCTCTTAAGTGCTGAAGAGTCCCTAAGTCTAAATGGGGCCCTGGAAGTGGCTTGAGTCTTACAACACATGGGCGAACAAAAACTAAAATCTATCTGGTCCAGGCTCAAGTGTTTGCGTTCTGTAGTGATTGGTTTTACTGGAATTCTAGTACTGTAGCTTAACTTATTCTTTGATTTCGTATTTCATTTTCATTCTATGTAAAGGCTAAAAATTAAACTGCTCCACATTTAACAGCCAAGGGATAAAAGCAGCAGTAATGGAAATTCTTGATAGGAGACAAATTCCTGGGGCATGTATGATGGGGGTTGTGTCAACCTAACTCGCTATTTACAAAATGCACAGAGACCAGGAATTCCCAGTCAAACACAACCAGAAAAGTGCTGAATGGCTGTAGTATAATGAATATCAAAGGCTTCGAAAATATTAGGCTTGAACATTTGTCCCTAGAACTCTGTCTGGTAATTATTTCTGCTTCAGAAAAATTAGAACACACACAAAGATTCATGTAGAGAGTCTCTTTCTCTACTGCCACGGCTATCAAAGAAAAAAATGAGATAAAGCAAATGATAAAGAAAATGCAATCTTAAAGTAACCCAGAAGTCCAATTACATGATAAATACTAGAGAACACTAAAAACATTAGTAAATACACTTAGGAATGCAAGATAATGAAATACACATGCTTATGCAATAAGGTACATTATAGAACCTACACAAAATGATCCCAGAAATGCAAAAATGGATGATTACACACAGTCAAAAATAGTTCTATCATACATATGTAGTATTAATAGATAATATTCCACTGTGGGTGAGTTACCTTTGTTTTTCAATAGTTTCAAAATTGTAGTGATTTTTTTAATATTTCTTATTAAAATAAATGTTTTAAAGTTTTGCGACATTTCTCATAAAACTGCTTTCCCACTTTAGTGTAGTTTTGAGCTTCAAATGCCTCAAAGCTCACAGACAGCAACAAAAATAAAGTTCCCGCTCAGCTCTTCAGAACAGAAACAGTTTGCCAAGCCATGTGATATAGAAACGGGCAAGGAGAAAAAAGTGTGCACGGCAGCATGGAGAGCAACATTCTGCACATTGCTGTCACACCCATGTGGTCCCCAGCTAGCCTGGTGGTGACATCGCAATAGTGGAAGCTGTCTGTGGTACATCCTAAAGCTTGGGTCCGAATGACAAACAGCAAGAGTAATCGGTTCAAATTTGGCAACGAATTCAAATAAAAGGTAATTAGCAAAATAGGGACTCTTAACAGGCATCTAAATGTCAGGCCAATTAAGGGATAATGGGAACACGAATGTAAACAAGAACCAGGAAAGAAGCCCATTGGTGGAGCCAACGCCCACTGGAGAGGATATATAATAACCCCGGAGCAAGAGGAGACATTTGAACCTCAGAGACTTCATCTTTGCCTTAGACCAAAGCCAACCAGACTCCATCACCATGGCTTGCTGTGTTGCCCGCTGCTGCAGCGTCCCCACCGGCCCCGCCACCACCATCTGCTCCTCAGACAAGTCCTGTCGCTGTGGAGTCTGCCTGCCCAGCACCTGCCCACACACCATCTGGCAACTGGAGCCCACCTGCTGTGACAACTGTCCCCCACCCTGCCACATCCCTCAGCCCTGTGTGCCCACCTGCTTCCTGCTCAACTCCTGCCACCCAACCCCAGACCTGCTGACCGTCAACCTCACCACCTATGTGCAGCCTGGCTGTGAGGATCCCTGCACCCCAAGTTGCTGCTGACCTGTGGCTCCCTTACTTGGTGCCTGCCTTCGAAGAAAGAGTCAACCCAGGAGCCTTAGCACTTACCTGGCAGAACCTGCAATTAGTTTGCTCTGATTCAGAAGCCGGAGTTGAGGGGCACTGTCACTGACGATGTCTCTCCTGCCAGCCTCAACAAAAAGAAACCAGAATCTTTGGTAATGCGGCTTTTACCTGCAACCAGGTGCAGTGTGGATGGTTGATGCTTCAAAGCTCCTGAAGATGCTGACTCCATCTTAGTGTGCTTCTTTCTCTGGGTGTTTGGGGCTTCTGACTTCAGTCTTGGGTGGTATCCTTCTGCAAATTTAGGAACTTCTTCATGATCTTCCCAATAAATTGTGTGTCTATGGCATAACACAAATGTGTATAATTGCCTTTTGCTTGTTTCTAGGACTTGGTTAAATGTGTTTCTTAACTCCCAATGTAAGTTAGCATTTGAAGAAAAACTAACCGCCTGGTTGACATTGGAAACAGTGGCAGGAAGGTAAAACTCATTGATCTTGTTTCTCTTGCTATTCTGGGGTAACTCAGTGGTCTGGTGTCATAATTAGGGTTTTTATTGCTGTGTCAAAACACCAGGACCTAAAGTAACTTGGGAGGAAAGGGCTTATTTGGCTTTCACACCCATATCACAGTCCACCATCGAAGGGATCAGAGCAGGAACCTGGAGGCAGAAACTGAAACAGAAGCTATTGAAGAATATTGTCTGTTGGCTCGTTCCTCATGGCTTGCTCAGTCTGTTTTCTTATACAATTCAGAACCAACCTCGCAGGGATGGCCCCACCCCCATGACTGGACTCTCCCACATTAATTATTAATCAAAACACTACCCTACAGACTTGTCTATAGGCCAGTCTTATGGAGACATTTTCTCAGTTAAGATTTCCTTTTCTCAGATGGCTCTAGCTTGTGTTAGTTGACAAAGAACACCAACCAGGACACCTGGTGTGCTGATTTGAATGAGATATGCTTTCCACAGGCTCATGGATGTGACCACTAGTTGGTGGCACTGATTGAGAAAGCCATGGATCCTTTAGGATATAGAAAGGGCATCACTGTGGACTGGCTTTGAGGTTTTATAGCCTGGCTCCACTCCCTATTCTCTGTCTCTCTGTCTCTCTGTCTCTGTCTCTCTCCCTCTCTTCCTCCCTCCCTCCTTCTCTCTTCTCTTCTCTTTCTCTCACACACATACAAACACACACTCTTCTCTCTCCCTCCCTCCCTCTTCTCTTTCACACACACATTCTCCTCTCCCTCCCTCTCTCCTCTTCTCTTTTCACACACATTCTCCTCTCTCTCCCCTTTCCCTTCCTCTTCTCTCCTCCTCCTCCTTCTCTCTCTCTCTCTCTCAATCTCTCTCTCTCAATCTCTCTCTCTCTCTCTCTCTCTCTCTCTCTCTCTCTCTCTCTCTCTCTCTCTCTTTCCCCTTCCTGACTTCCGGACTTGTCTTATAGTCTGGTTGACATGCTCCTCCCATTTGAAAAGTCCAGACATTTCTTTTTTTAAGATTTTATTTATTTTTAGCACAGTTTTATTTTTAATTATGTATATCATATTTGTATCTGTGTGTGAGTATGTATACATGAGTGTAGATGCCAGGAGAGGGTGTCAGACCCTCTGGAACTACAGTAATAGGTGGTCCTGAGCTACCTGACATGGGTGCTGGGAACTGAACTCAGGTCCTCTACAAGAGCTCTTAACTGCTGCACCATCCTCCAGACCCTTATAATTTCTTATGAAAAGAAATATAGAAATATATACCTACTCACAGCTCAACAATTCTACTCCTAATATTGATCCAAAAGAAAAGAAAAAAAATATCTACAAAAGCACACACGAATGTTATAGAAGTTTTATTTATAACAGCATCAAACTGGAAACAACATTCATCCACAGAAGAGACAAAAATAAATTATCAACATCACAAGATGAACCTTTCAAATTCAACAAGGGACTGATGCAGCATCCGAGAACTAAAAGACAGAATGTTGACTGAAGGAAACTAGACACAAATTATACACACTGTGTGACTTTGTGCACAAAATTCCAGAATGCAGAACAGTAATCCACAGCAGCAGAAATCACTGCAATGTTTACCTTTGGAGCCAAGTGAAAAGGGAAACAAAATGAGATTCCAGAGTGATGGGGAAATGGTAATGTCTTGACCAGGATGAGGCCTACATAGCTTTTGCAAAACTGCACATAGCCATATATAACATTTTCTTAACAAATTATCTTGAAGAAAGTGAACACGTTAGCAATTACGCAGTCATTGAGAGCCCAGATGTGTCACTTAGCAGCATTAAATTTTATAAAGTTTTAAAAAAGCCTGGTATTATTTTCTTATTTTCTCATTTTATGTCAAAAACAAGTGAGGATTCCACACCTAGAGAAATAAAACACAGCTGGTAAGTAAGGGTGTTACACGTAAATGTACATCTAAGTTAGTCACATGGAGATACGGCCACCAGGGCAGTAGTCTGCATTCCCACCAAGTTTCCTTGTCTTCAATATTAAATTTTGTAAAGAATTGTGTATCAAAACAGAAATCCCTATTCAAGTAAATGGATTTATCTTTAGCAAACATTTATTAATGGTTTGTTATATGCGAAGGACCAGAGATAAGACATGGTATGTCTTAAAAAAGAATCTGTCAAAAAAAAAAAAACACCAATAAGCCTAAAAAGGAAAACCACATATGAATTTGTGTGTTTTCGTTTGAATTTTTCTTCGAGAATTCCATACAAGATGTTTTGAGCATATTCATCCCCTCCCCAACTCCTCCCATATCTATCCCTCTTTCCTGATCATCCAACTTTGTGTTGTTGCCAGCCACACCCCCGCCTTCTTTTTAAGCCCATCAAGACCAAATTGTGCTGCCCAGATACCCTTGGATATGTGGCCTTCCACTGGACAGTGGTCAATCTATCAGGGACAACACCCTTAAGGAAAATTGATCTCCTGCTCCCAGAAGCCACCAATTGCCAATAGCTCCTTGACTAGGGGCAGAGCCTTGTGCTCACTGCTCCATGCTCAGATTTGGTTCGGCATGAGTTTGCATGAGTCTTCTGCACACTACCACAACCACTGAGTTCCTCTGTGCAGCTGCCTTGCTGTGTCCAGTAAACACTGCCTCCTCATAATCATTTACCCCCTCGGGCTCCTAAAGTCCTTCTGCTCCTTTCTTCCATAATGCTCTCCTAGCCCTGGCGTGAGGAGGCTGATATGGATATCCCAACCCAAGGCAGCTGGATGCCATTTCCACTCGGTTTTAACCTGAAAGTTGAGCCACAAAAGGAAGGGCAGGAGAAACAGTACCCGAAGCTTATAGAGTGGCAGGAGCTTGGGTTTGTGAGGTGAGCGTAAGGCAATGAGGTCGCTATGAACCAGGGAAGGAAGACCCTGCTTGCCAAGGTAGACAGTTTGGGTTGTATTGATGAAGGATAAAAATGGATTTTCAAAAACTTGTTCTGGCAGCGGGAGTTGGTGGATGTCGTACAACAAGAGCACATCATAAAGGAAACAAACATGGTTGCCTTTATGATGTTCTGTGATGTCTATTTGCTTCCCTGGTCGCAATGGTCTCTTCTTCGGAGAACTGTCAGCAGCAGACATGTGTCCTGGCCCCTTTCCGTGTTCTCAGAGTACAGCTACTCCTTAGTAGACAAAACTGCCTATCTATTCCAAACCAAAAGGAACAGCTGTGTCCCCCCAATGCAACAACCATCAGCCAAAACTCTCCTATCAGAACTTAGGTTAAGACAAGGAAAATATAGTCCTTATTTTATCTAGAGTTGATTTGAAATTATAACATACAACATTGTAACACTCTTTGCAGGTGTTTTTTGGAGACAGAGTCTTGATATGTAGCCCAGACCATCCTCAAACGGCCTGAGTCTCCCAAGTGCTGGGATTCCAGCCATGCATCACCACACCCTGCTTTACAATACGACATTTAAATCACCAGGGCCTATGATAGATGACCAGTAGACAACAGAGTTTCTCTTCAAAGCTATTTTGCAAGTTATTTATCAGTTTACTCCTGAAGTGTGGTTTTATTTTACGTTTTTACCTTTCCAAGTGTGTTTTTGAACCCTCTGCCTCACACCCTTTCCAGAACAGTATCCATACACCATGACTCCCTCTAAGAATAAATAACACAGCTGGGTGGTAGTGGCGCACTCCTTTAATCCCAGCACTCAGGAGGCAGAGGCAGGTGAATTTCTGTCGGTTTGAGGCCAACCTGGTCTACAGAGCGAGTTCCAGGACAGGCTCCAAATCTATACAGAGAAACCCTGTCAAAAAAAAAAAAAAGAAAGAAAAAAGAAAAAGAAGAAGACTATATAACACAAGGATTCAAATAACTTGTGAATAGAGAATCCTGGGATGTTATTTCATACACTTGTACATTCTCCTGATTTTTATTATTTTATTTACATTGGCAACTACCTAGAAAGCCATGCTCAAAAGCGAGAAAATAACTCTGTTTAGATTGTGTAAATTCTCACTTGACCAGAGCAACCGATTTTCTCTCCTTTATGAAGACTCTTAAAGTGACTAGGGAGATGGCTGGACCAGGAAAGAGTTTGCTGTACAAGTCTGAGGCTTTGAGTTCAAATGCCCAGCACAAAAGCTGGCACAACAGTACCTCTGTAATCCCAGTGCTCAGGGGATGGAGGAGACAAGAAGGTCTCTAGCACTCACTGGCCATTCAGCCTCCCCCTGAATGGGTGAGCTCCAGGTCCAGTGAGAGGCCTTGTCTCAAAAGTTGAGGTGACACATGCCTTTAACCATATCATTCAGGAGACAGATTCGGGTAGATCAATATGAGTCTGAGGCCTGCCTGGTCTATATAACATAGTGAGTTCCAGGTCAGCTAGAGCTCTACAGTGAGACCCTGTCTCAAATAGAATGATAGTAAGTTAAAGAAAGAGCAATTTAAGACACCCAAAATTAATCTGTGGCTTCCACATAGACACAAGCACACATGCATGCACACACATGCATACACATGCACAGGCACACACATACTGGGAGGGGGTCTTATTGACTCTGGAAGCAATTTTCTCTGTGTACTTTTGAAAGTGAAATAAAAACCACAATTAAAGCAAAAACAACACGAAAGTGTATCTATACTAGATTCCTAAAACACATGCAAAGAATTTCTGCCTCAAATCTGCATCCACCTGGTTCCATGGCAGGGGATTTTACATGCTGGAACTGCTGTTTGAAACAGACATTACATAATCAGATGTTCCCTAATTCCAATAGTCTTAACATTCACAAAAATGAGACTTTCATAAATAAACAGATTCCATATAACAGGAGGTTAGATTTTGTGGCTTGCTTAGCTCTATGCCTAAGTACAATCAGTGAGGTTTTCCAAATCTTCATCATAATTTCTGTCTCCACTGTCCTTAGAAACACAGGTAAGGGCTGTGGCTATAGTCTGCGGTACATGGTATACGTAGCCTGAACAATGTCTCATGTTTGAGCCCTAACACCAACATAAGTCAATCGTAACAGCTTTTTAAAAAATAGCATAAGGAATCTAAAATGGAAATATGTGAAGGCAAAACTTGCGCGTATGACTGTCCTCCTCGAGCATAGCCAATCTCGACAACTAAGCAGGTCGGGCATAATTAGTGCTTGGCTAGCGATGGAACATTTGAGATAAGCAAAGATCACAATTCAGATCTTGACAGCCAGTTTCTACTTTGATCACTGGACACACTTATACTCATTGCTCTAGAAAATGAACACACATGCTTCACACTCAGTATATACCTTTTCCTTTACCATGCTTCAAGCACACAAACACACACACACAAGGTAACACAAACAAATGCATGCAATTTAATGAGCTATGGTGTCTATTTTTAAAGTAGACAAGAGCAATCAGTTTTCAAAATCAAAAACCTATGGAAATATTATGTTCTGTACCTCTCATGAGCTCTACCTAAAATCACCGATGGCTCAATTTTTCGTTTTGGTTCCTAATTCTTTCAAAAGGATAATGTTTCCGATGGTCATTTGCTAAAATAAGGATTGTATCCAAGCAGCATGTGGAAATGGCGTTAGTCCTGACTTAGTAACCTGAAGTTATCCTCCTTTTACAAGGCATAAAACTTCCTCGGTAAATAAGCAGCACTAATGAGATGTTTGTAGGAAAACTGGTACCCGTGGTGCTAGAGAAAACATCAGTGTGTCCTGTAAACAGTCATTTGAAGGGCGATATAAAGGTCTCAGGAGGGAAGGAAACGTTTGGAGACATCGGCCATACGGCATCCAGTCTGTTCATTCCTTCCCAGAAGATGGCTTCCGACGGTTCCCCTGCGTGCTGCTCTTCTGAGCCCTGTGCAGTTGCCTCGCCCTGTCCCACTGACACAACTTGCCTGCCCAGCACGTGTGCCACCTCCAGATGTCAGACCCCGAGCTTCCTCTGCAGGGCTCATTTCTCGGCCGGTCGCCTCTCACCCTGCTACTTCGCCAGCAGCTGTAGCAGTCCGTGCCTGGTGGGGAACTGTGCCTGGTGTGAGGAAGGGGCATTCAACAGCAACGAAAAGGAGACGATGCAGTTCCTGAATGACAGACTGGCCAGCTACCTGGAAAGGGTGCGGAGCCTGGAGGAGAACAACGCCGAGCTGGAACGCAGGATCCGAGAGCAGTGCGAGCCGGACGCCCCATTGGTGTGCCCAGATTACCAGCGTTACTTCGACACCATTGAAGAACTCCAGCAAAAGGTTGTGTGTCCCTGATGCTCTGTTTCCCATTCCTGATTTCTCTCATAGTTTTAATGGAGCAGGTTGCTTGATGGATGTAAAACACAGGGATTCCAGGAGCTAATATGCCGCCAGAAAAAGGGGGCCATAGATGACAAGGAATGTCTCCATATCAGCTCTAACTATTGAAGGACTATAGAAATGTCAGCTCTCTGCAGAGTGCATGATCCACAGACAGGGAGAAACTGGACTATAATATCTAAAATCTGTTCTGTGTATATCATTGTACATTTATATGCTTTATCAAACAGATATTGAACACCATCTATGTTAGTAATCATTTTCTTTTCATGTGTACGTGTGCATCCATGAGGGGTTGGTGGGGGAAGCATGTGCACATGTGGAGGGAATGTATGTATGTATGAGGAGGCCTGAGGTCAAGGACAAGTGGCTTCTGCTCCCCGTCTTGTTTTTTGAGTCTCTCAAGGGAGCTGGAGTTCACTGATCTGACTGGCTAGCCAGAGTCCCAAGGTTACTACCCTCTCCACCCCACCCTCGCCCCCAGGGCAAGGGGCAACAGGCACACACTGCTAGACTTAGGTTTTTTTCACGTGAGTTCTACGGGATTGCACCCGCGTCCTCCACTGGCATTGTAAAGGCTCTACTGACAGACCCAGCTCTCCTTGCCCAGTGGATGAATTTCTATGGCCATAGACAGAGATGTAGCTCTAGTAAATACTCGCCGCGGAGGAAACCAACAGAGCTCAGCTGCCAGTGATGACTGCAAAGCGTCTTGCCTTGAGTCGCTTACAAAGGAAACCTTGAGCCGCAGAGATGGCTCAGCAGTGGACAGCACCATTGTCCCGCTCATGAGCAACCCGAGTTCAGTTCCCAGCACCCATATACAGCAGCTCACAACCACCCACGAATTCATTTCCCGAAGACCTGACACCCTCTTCTGACAGCCTAAGGCAAGGCACAAGTCTGCACACACAAACACACACAGACCCACAATCACACACATACACACAATCATGCAAGCATGATTGGGAAAAAAAGATAAAATCATTTTTTAGAAAGAGAACCTCCTTTATTTCTGTATTTTGTTTCTGAATTGGCACTGCATGGTTTGGTTTGGTTTTTCTTCTTCCTGGGACAGTTAACAGGAAACAGGTTGAAAGCAATGATATACTAACTTGCAAAGACTTCCAGAAGCTAATGAATGGCATGGCTGTTAAAACAGACACGTGGGTTTCTCCCAAAGAGTTGTTGATCCCATGATGACTTCCCTCTTAGATACTGTGCACGAAGGCAGAGAATTCTAGACTTGCTGTTCAGGTGGACAACTGCAAATTGGCTGCTGATGATTTCAGGTCAAAGTAAGTCAACTTATATTTATTTTTTTAAACCACGCTGTATTTCAGATGGACATTTTGCATGTTAAGTTTTAAATCTAATTTGAAAATAAGGATGACTCCAGTGAGAGAGAAAATAATCCCTGCATGAGATAAATTTTTAAACTGAGAAACTTGAACTCATCATCATTTGGGATGCAAGGAAAACTGTAGCATATGGCTCCCTGGAGGCCACAGGTCACTCACCCTGTACCCCAGCACTCTGGTCAGTGTTTAGCCAAGTCAGCCCCTCCCCTCTCTTTCTCTTGCTGGGAAAGGTATGAGAGCGAACTGTCTCTTCGTCAGCTGGTGGAGAATGACATCAGTGGCCTTCGTGGGATCCTGGGTGAACTGAACTTGTGTAAATCAGACCTGGAGGCCCATGTGGAGTCGCTGAAGAGTGATCTCCTTTGTCTTAAGAAAGACCATGAAGAGGTAAGAAAAGGGGCTACTGGGACAAGGGCGACAGGAAAACTTCTACTGAGAGATTGCATGGGTAAACTGAACTGAACTAAGCTGGAACGAAACCAGAGGCACGCCTACTGCGAGGCCTGAGCGCCCAGTGTATCTCAAAGTAGATGTGACAGACAGTGTGTATCACTAGGTAGCATCGCCCTCAGCAGGGGCAGGGGGTGGGGCCGCTCTCTAGCCAGCCCTTGCTTGGGTGGAGAACTAACTCCCCTAATGTCTATTTCCTTAGCTCTACTGTACAACAAGAAAATTGAGCTGATGAACAGGCTGCGTGCCCCCGCCAAAGAAGAGATAAATTGTCATGCGATATTAGGAGTAGCATTTTTAGATATTGTACCTTTGTAATCTTGTTTCTATTATACACTGTTAAGAATGAAAAAACAGAGTTATGTAACAAAGTAAAACAAAACTTTATACTTTGAGTATTTTGGTGGTAATAATAACTAGCAATTACAGATACATACCTTAGCATGCGTCAGGAATTTTACAAGTTTATTGTTTAACTCTTCCCTGTCTCACAATAACTCTCTGGGAAAGAGAACAATATTCTAGTCATTTTTCAGATGAAGAAACTGAGACACTTGAAACTAGCAGGGAGAGGAGGATAGAGAAATGGCCCAGCAGTTAAGAGTGCTTCTTGCTCTTCCAGAGGACCCAAGATTACTACCCATTTCAGTCCTCAACTGCAGCTCCATGTGGCAACAGACATAGACATGCAAATTTTAAAACTCTTCTTTTATTACAGAAGTAATAAAAAGAGATTCAACCAAGAGAATCTGAACCAAAACCCCAGACTGTTACCCCCTGTGCCAAAAATAAAAATAGGATTGCTATTTTTTTTATCAATTTGATATTACACACACACACACACACACACACACACACACACACACACACCACTCTGACATTCTTTACCTCATTTCCAATCTCAGGAGGTCAACGTGCTTCGTGAGCAGCTTGGAGATCGGCTGAGCGTGGAGCTGGACACTGCCCCTACTGTGGACCTCAACAAGGTCCTGGATGAGATGCGATGTCAGTATGAGACCGTGCTGGCCAACAACCGCAGGGATGCAGAGGAATGGTTCGCGGCTCAGGTCAGTGCTCACCGGAAGAACCGGCTTCCGGAAAGGAACTGCGGGCTTCCGGAAAGGAACGGCCGACTTCCGGTAAGGAGCTTTACCTGAGCACCGTAACCCCGCTGTGTTTCAGACGGAAGAGCTGAACCAGCAGCAGATGTCCAGCGCCGAGCAGCTGCAGGGATGCCAGACCGAGGTGCTGGAGCTGAAGCGCACGGCCAACACTCTGGAAATTGAGCTCCAGGCGCAGCAAACCCTGGTGTGTGGGACAAAAAAAAAATGTCATTCCTTGTCAACAGCATGCCCAGAAAAGTCC